ACAGGACGGAGGTGAGGACTGGCAGTGCGTCCGTGGTGGCTGTGACTGAGCTCCCCCCTTGGGCGACCTGCGGCTCCTGCCTCGGGAATTCTCTCTGCCCCATTACCTCCCTGGCGGAGCCGCCCTCGGCTCTGAGGGACTCCAGGGACGCAGGGCTGTACCCGGGGAGCTTTGCTGGTGCTTGGCTCAGTGGGGAATGTGCAGCATCGCTGCCAGCTGGGCGCTCTGTCCGTCCTCGGGGCTCGTCTTTCTGCAGGGAGAGAGCCGGGAGGTGTCGGGACGGCTGCGCGCTCAGGGCAGAGCCAGCCGGGTGATGGTCACGGCTCGGCTCCTTGCTCCGGGTAGCCAGGGTGGCTGCGGTTCCCAGCCCGGCTTTCGCGGTGCTTGTGCTTCCCTTGGCTGTATTCCCCAGTTTGGGGCGATCACCCGGTCCCGAGCGGCTGCAGGGGCTCTCAGGGACCGGACCTCACCCGTCCGCAGGGCAGGGGCACGGTGAGGAACTCGGGGTACGGCGAGACGGGGACCGTGGCGTGGTGCCGCAGCAGCTCGGCCAGCTCGGGGTGGGCGCTGCGCTCCCCCAGGATCGCGTATCGCCCGTCCGGCAGCTGCTCCAGGACAAAGTGCCGGCAGCGATCCCTGCCCCTGGCGGCAGAGGGGATGGGACGGGCAGAGTGACCGGGAGGGGACCGAGCTCGTCGGCCCCTCCCTCGGACAGGGCTGGGTCCCTCACCTGTAGGAGAGGACGAAGCCGATGGTGCTCTCGCTGAAGCGGACCAGGAAGCAGCCCAGGGGCTGATCCTGCAGCAGCTCCTCTGCCTCCCTGTGGGAAGGGACGCTGAGCCTTTCTACCTCATCCCCTTCGTGTGATCCAGGGATGCAGCTCCCTGTTTAGGAGCCCAAGGGGGGGATATTGACCCCGCTCCCCGCCTTGGCCTCCCCCTCGCTTACCTGCGGCTGATGAAGCCGTGGAACCAGGTGGGGAGCTCCCCCTCGGGCCCCAGCCTCTGGGCTTGTGTCTGCTCAAACCACAGCCTCGTCCGGGCACGCAGGGCCACCCGATCTGGCCACGGGTCCCCCTCAGGTGGGGACTGAGCTGCTGGAGGTGCCCAGAAGCCTGGAGGGACCTGGAGGGAAGGGGACAGCACTGGGAGCTCAGGTGAGGACGTGCACCAAGGATGTTCTGCTCCCTGCACGTGAGGACACGGCTCCTGAGAGCATTGTGGGTGCTGGGATGGTGAGCTGGGCTCAATTCCACCCCCGTGTCCCCAGGTCCTACCCTGCCATGTCTGTTGTGGTGTCTCAGTGACTGCTCTGCCCTCTGGAGCTGCACGGGGGGTGTGTTGGGTGCTGGCTCAGCTCTGGCCCTGTTGTCCTCACCAAAGGCCTTGAAGGTGGTGAAGAGGGGATGGTCGTCATCCATGGGGTCCCCTGTCCCAGGGAGAAAAAGCTCAGGGCAGAGAGGCCTCCTTCAGGGCCCCTCACTGCCTGCAGAGCACTGGGGAGTCTGGGGGCTCCAAGACACCCCCGCAGGCACTGCTCTCATCAACAACCTGGGTAAGCATCACCTTCACCTTGGGGTCCCCAAGCTCAGGCTCGTCACCCTGATCCTCCCCAGGGAGACCACCCTGCACCTGCTGAATGGGAAGGGACAGTGACCTTGGCACCCCAGAGGAGGAAAGCCCTGGGGACAGTGATGTAGGTGGGGAGGAGCTGAGGAGAAAGCATGTGAATCCTCCAGCCCCTCTCAAGTCCCTGGTGTGTCAGGTCAGCCCTGGGTAGGGAGAGGCTGAGCAGCTCCTGAGGGACCTTGAGCTTGACCCTGAGCTGCCAACACCCGGCAAAACAACATTAATCCCCAGCAGATGCTTGAGGGGGTGGAAGATGCTGGGGCTGGTTGGATCTGGGAGGCAAAGCTGAGTCAGAGGAGTCAGTTGAGGCTTGTCTGAGAGCAAGGGGATCCAGCCACCAGGAAAAGCACCCCAGCTCCACCTTTAACCCACGGCAGTGCCCAGCCTGGCCCTGTGCCCCAGCAGGCAGGGGAAGGTGAGGAGGAGAAACAAAACACCCAAACTGCAGTGACACCACTCAGGGAATGCTGGGGAGGAGAGTTTGGGTCAGGTCCTGCCCAGGCATAGCCCACAGTGCCGCTGTCCCGAGCTTGCCATGCATCCCCAGCTGGGTGGGGGGCTGTGGTGGGCTCATCCCCACTCCTCCATCCCAGCACCTTGACCTCACTGGGGCAGCTCAGGGCCGGGGATTTGTTCTGTGGGGCAGGATGTGCCTCTGAAACCCTGCACTCCTGAGGTGGGAACGAGTCACATCAGTCTTGAAATGGGCTGAAAGCTTTGCTCTGTGCAACATTTCTGGGCTGCACTTCCCCCTTTGGAGAGGGTAAGGTCTGTCTGGAGGGGCTGGTGTGGGCAGGGGACTGCAATTCCTCTCTCTCCACTCCATCCTCGTGCCCTTTGTCCCGCCTTTGGGCAGGGGGAGCATCCCTGCAGTGCCTGGTGCTGCCCTGTCCAGCAGCCCCTGCTCAGGGTTCACTCTTTGGCCTTGCTGAGAAC